ATAAATCTAAAGTTTAAAGCAATATTCTTTCCCAGAATAATTGATAACCATACTCGTATTAACTTTCCATTATTCGATGTTTCAAATTAGATATACTCATTAGAAATATTAATAAACAGCTAGTCGTTTTCTGATTGTAGGTCAATCGGATTACATGTCATGCAATATTTTTGTCTGAATATGGACTTAATTTTTATTAGCTAAAATATAGACAAAAATAATCTGTTTAAATGAGGAAAAGCAGGGTTTCAAAGAATATCTCAATAATGCACTGTGTTGTACCGTATTGGCTCCGTCTATCTAAAAAGCATTGCGTTTTGCTGGGATATTTAGAATGCGCCATTAATAAGATACACCAAAAATAAGATTTAAATCTCTTAGAAGAGAGCATATAGAATAAACCTTATTCAATGCCTACTTAAATGAGTGGTTGAAATTTAGAGGCCCATGTAGGTCAGCTTAGCCATAAAACTGGATAAATGCTTCAAATTAGCCAAGTAATAAAACCAAGTAGACAAAGGTAATAAAATGAAAAGCACTTCACACACTACCAACTTTTATGTTAGCTACTGAAAAGATATGGGTGCATATGCAGTGGTCACGGTCACGTGATAGACAAATCTAAACAAACCCGTGCAGGGAGTTGGATACAAATTGCCCCTCGTAGTGAAGAGCAGTGATCTGTCCATGTAAGCCATGTGATTCAGTCATCCAGCGAGCGAGACCAGTACGATCTAAAAAACGAGTCAAAGAATCGAGCTCGGCTACTCGAGGAGTGTTAAGATCTGCCACAGACGTTTCAGATGCTGGAGTTTTTGATACAGGAGGCCGCTTACGCCACCGGCTGCTGCTCCCTACGGCTGAAGCTGAATGTGATTCTGCAGCAGAAAGATCAGGGTGGCAATATGAATCTTTTCCTGGCGATGACTCTCGGCTGGAAAGTGGAAGAAGACGGGAAAGAAAGGAGCGAGCTGCAAGATTTGGTCTGTGAAGAAAATAGAATGGATGGATGACTACATTATGAAAAAGTAATAAAATGATCGAAATAGAATTGCAATGCCAATATTCTTATCAGAATTAATAAAGAAAAAGATATAGTAACACTATAAAAAGAAGAGGAGTTTCGAAGAATCCCTTAATAGATTGATACTGGCGTAATTTTCATTTCGTTTGCAAAGGCGGGTCGAAGGGATTCGTAGATTGGCCTCACCGGATACCGAAGTAGGGTTGCCTTTGACTTTTGTCTGTTGAATTGTACGAAGAATACCTCGACCCACAGTCCTACGACCCCGATGACTCCATGCTGAGCTTTCGGCGGTCCTGTGCCGGACATCGTCAGAGCCAGAAACCCTTGTTCATGAAAAAATCACAAAAAAACTAAACCAAGAAAGGAAGCCAACTGAGATCCTGCATACTTCACTTTGCGATCTTATTTAGGAATTGCATGATTTGGTTGGTTCTTTTATGCCTGTTCTACATGCATGTAAGCGGGTCAAAGTGATGCAAGAAAGGAAGTGGATGTGGTCACAAATTGTATATATGTATGATCCCGTAGTCATGGCTCTTGTTACAGTTTCGCAGCTGCGCTTTTGTGTGTGATACAACGACCACAGTTGGTTTGAAATTTTCGGTCTTCTCGTATCACTCGATGCCTCTTGCTGTTACCTTTCATTTTCCCTCCTTCTCTTTCATTCTATCTAGCAGCCAGACATAATTCTTACTTCGTTTCGTACATTCCTTCCTCTTACTCAGAATTCTCTTTGTTTAATTAAGTTCAGTTGACTCTCTGATCTCCCGTTTAGCCGTGAGGACGACATATCAAACAAAACGTTCGGGTTAGACCAGTCTATCTTGTATCCTGTAGAGACCACATGATCAGCCACTTCCAATTTATAAATCTATAAACCTCTGCATACGGTTGTGCGTTCTATTAACCTCTTAGGTATGGGTCTACAAGTCCCCACCCCCCACATAAACACTACCACATAAGCACAAAACCTTATAACAAACTGATCTGCAGAGGGCGTCGGAAGATTCTCTAAAAGAAGGCATGATCGAAGAAAGCGTTATTGTTTCTCTATACATTGTCTTGACGCTCAATTTCCGCACTAATTCGCCAATCATAGTTACGAAACAAAATTTGGAGTTTTAAAAAATCTATGATTATTCGGAGAATAAGACTAGCCGATAGAGACCATTGTGATAATGAACTGGATCGGCTTGAAACAATATTTCTTGAGAATAATTGTCCTCTAGATTTGAATGAAAATAACATTAAATTAATAAAGAATAGATTTTTTAATAATGATTACGTAACGAGGGATAATGAGACCTTTATTCATGTTTTATCTTTGCCTAAGTGCATTTTTTTCAAAAAGGATATGTGCACAAGTAAGGAAGTGGGGAATAAGAACCGTTTTCAGGGAAACTACGATACTTTCTTCAGTTATGCACACTTTTATAAAAAGATGACCAATTATCCAGATCGGGTTGCCACAAAATGTGTTCATTTGGTCGTTTTTATAGGGGAGAGACATGTTGTCCCATTTGACAAGGGGTGGGTGACCACAAAAGCGCCTGAAGGGGCTGTTGGGTTCAAAAATCGGAGTTGGCTGAACACAAGGGAGAAACTGGACACGAGATTGATGGTCTCAAACTTGTCGTTTTGCTGATTATGGCATGTCTGGGGCTAAACGAAAAATGAGAGAATTCATTGAAATAAAGCGAATATGGAATACATAGAATGAAAGGATTAGTGGCAGAAAGTTAAGTAAAAACTACTTGTGCTTAATTAATAGACTCAAGGATAGAGAGGCTGTTGAGCCGCCTGCAAAAATGAGACGACTCGACTAGTCTCGAAACCCTACTCTCATACGAATATAGTTTTTTCTTGTCTTGGTTCTAATCATAGTCACTTCTCTGTACTTTTACCATACTCTTTCATTCTCGCACGAAGACAAAAACAATAAAAAACTCAAAATCAGACGTGTGTCCTACCTTGCGTAATCGAAGTGATGGTTATAATATATAAGTAGAAAGGGGGAGATAGTGGTCATTAAACCTTGATGGCCGAGAACAGACGTTAGTTTTGCTGTCTTAATTACTTTGAGCCATCACTACTGGCTTCGTGCATAGAACACATACAAGCACATAAACATATAAAGACAAACACAGTCACAGGCTTTGTGGTTGACATGACTGGAACTAACCAAATCACTATACCTCATCAAAGAGACTAGATATAGAGCATATATACATCTCTTTAGGAATGTGCCGGTGATTTTTCTTGACTCGTTATCTTGAATTTGGTTGTAGGGATGATACCTTGCTCTGATGATGTTCGTCATATGACGGATGAAATTTTAGCACCTTTTCACTGGAATCTAAAGAGATTACCTCGGAAACAGTGTCACCATAAATGTTCAAGTAAAGCCACTCGATGGCTAATCAAGAGTAATCCGCCGTCGAATTAGGGTGTAATCGACCTTCGAATCTCTTCACCAAACACTCTTACTTTAAATGGAATTAAGCCTAACAATTATGAATCAAGAGATTACTCGAAACCTTACTTTTCTTCGCACGTTTTAGGAAAGCAAGGCAATGTAAGATTCAATGGAAACGTCCTCCTTACTCATATCATTGTGGGAAAATTCAACTTCTAGTCCTCCATCACCTTAGACGAAATAGGGTGAATACTTCTTGTATACGAATCTCTTCATCATTTACTTTTATATAAAATTAAAGTTTTCACGGTATATTTTATATTAAACGCAAATATTTGGACTACTTATGAGGCCTCCTCCCTCACCTCTTTAGGTAAATAAATTCGAAAGTCACCAATTCAACCAAGAAGACTCATGTGATAGTTGAATGATTACTTTTCACTTTGGTCGAATGGCAAGGAAAATTTAGATGAATTACTGAACTTTTATGAACGGGCTTGGCAAAGAACTTAATTCATAATGTATGTGTAGGATGATCGACTAACTTTCCTGTAGGTTGAGATCCTTGCCCCAACGGGACACTCAAGAGACTATTTAGAAAGAAATCATCAATTTCCAGTCTGGTCAAAACTACAGAGTAGATCGAAACACTAAGTTTGATTATCAGAAATTTAAGACTAACGGACATGGAGTTATGTGAGGAAAAGTTGCACGAGCTGAAGCGAATTTCTTTTAGTAACGGGTACCTCAGGGAAATAATACAAAAAAATATAGGGGCCAAAAAGATTAAAAAGAGGAAGACCAATGATGTTTATACTTGCTCCTCTGAACTGAATAAAAAATTGAGAAAATAGAATATCCAGGTGATGACGGAGAAGATAACAATCTGCACTAATTTGCCGACGCAACCCAGAAAGATTGACAAACTAGAATGCTCGGGGGATTATCGTATAATGTGCAGCAACTTTGAGCAAAGTATATTAAGAAAAAAGTAAGAAAAATCAGTCAAATAATTAAAGAGCATCAAAGATACCTCAAGAATATGGATATGGAAAAATCCGAAATAGCGAAACAGATTGCATGGAGGACACTAAATCGAAAGGAAATCGACAGAAAGACCGGCCACGTATGGTGAAAATAAAAACGCAAAAACTGAAAGCTAATTGATGTCCTTACTGAAATAAATTAAATCAACAGGCAGAATTTGAGAAAGCTTTTCATATTACTTAAGTAAACTTGAAGGAGGTCAGTAAACAAGATCGGCAAAAAAAAAGACAACTAGATAAGGGAAATATTTTAAACATGTGGAAAGAGAATAGCAAGGAGACCACCGATAAACAATAAAAAAACAAATGCCTACAGTGAGCCTAATTAAGACAAATTAAATAAACATAGCATTTAGGTGTTAGCACACAAAAGAGTAGAGTATAGTAAAGTCGTAGACATGGTAATATGGAGTAAAGCGCGAGAGATGAGGCTGAGTTTAGGGCTAGTTGGCTCAATCTATGCGGGTTTTATAAAAGACGTAGTCCATGAAATCACGAAATTTACTGGGGGAACATGCGGCACAGTGATAAGGGAATCTGCAGCTTGAAGGTAGGTTTCCATGCTAGTTTAGAATTCAGACTGTGGAGGCTCA